GGCTCACTGGTTCCGCTGAGCCTTAGCAAGCTCCAGGCAGGAGGCCAAGGGTCCCCTGCAGGCCCCATGAGCTCCAAGGCCTGGCAGGGAGTTGAGCCCATGTGGCTCTGGGGGTGGCGACCTTGCCCAAAGCCCAGAGTTGTCCCCAGGCGGAAGGGCTGTTTGGGGTCTGTTTTCTCTTCCCTCCCATAACACATTATTTTTTGATAAATTAGCAGAAGCTTCTTCATCACTGAAAGGCTCAAAGCACTTCTCAAGAACTGGCATCCATCCCGCGCCTTATGAATTTGTTAATTAAGATGCTGGCAACCAGCCACTCCACGCACGCCGACATCCAGCCGCGGAGGCAGCGAGGTTTCAGTCTCCTGACCCCGCCAAGTGGAGCGGAGCCAGGCGCAGGCCGCCCCTCACTGGGGAGGCTCGTTTAACGGGCATCGGGCCCTCCACAGATTCCACCCACAGCGGCCTGCCCCACTCAGCTGTGCCTGGGTGGTTGGGGGAGGGGTTCAAGCACTCCCTTCTGCCACCCCCCTCCTGCCACTGAGGCCACTTCGGCAGCTATTTACTGGTGGCCACCAAGCTGCTTCCTGCCCTTGGTCAGAAAGCTGGGCAGTCCCCCCCAGTGACTGCGACTGTCCTATTGCGTGCTTAAGGCTTTAAACAACAAGTGTTGGGGCACCCCTCCTACGGCCTAGGCCATTTTCTCCCCGTAGCCCACTGCCTCCCTAATCGGCCACCTCCCGGTCTGGAAGGGACTCCAGGGAATTTTCCACGACTCCTGTGCTCCCTCCACTGTGGAAGCTGGAAAAAAGAGCAGATGCTGCTTCCGGGTCTGCTTGCAGCTAGGGTGGGCCATGAGCCTGCTCTGACCAACGAGACCTTAAAGCTTTGCTAATGAAAAGGACAAAGAGTTGTGCTTTTCCCCTTTCAGACTTAAAGTTGAACATGATGCCTGGAGCTGTGGCAGCTGTCTTGTGACTAAAAGAAAAACATCAGTCACCCACCTAAAAGTATTTATGCAAGAAAAAGTATACTCCTGTTTGCTTAAGTCACTGAGGTCAGTTTTCTGTAACTGGTACCCAAAAGCTTTCCAAACTGAGAGATTTTTGTATTGGGGCCAGGTACAATCAAATTATCCCCTCTGAGATGTCAGGTGAGACATCACATATCAAGATTGACTTAGGCAACATCTAATGACACACTAGGTCACACAATCCAGCTACCAAAGCAACCAAGTCAGAGGTTATTACTATCAGAGATTTAAAAATAATTTTTTGGGGGGGGTCCAGGGATAAAACTCACCATGTTGCACTTGCCAGGCAGGCACCTATACCGCTGAGCTAAATCCCCGGCCCTTAAAAAGTAATTTTTACATCAGCCCAAATCTTCCTGTCAGTTTAGACTAAAACACCTTTCTCATCTGAAGTATAATTTTCTCTTGTTATTCAAAATAAGGTCTCAGAAGCTAAAGCTTACAGCTGGTGTTTTACAACTCTGAGATGTCACAAGGTGGCAAAGAATCAGAAAGAAAGGCCTCAAAAAACCCCGTGAGCAGTGTGGGTGAGGGTCGCAGGGTCCTCAGTGAGCCTCCGGCCAGCCCTGGGGTGAGCGCTGCCTGCCCAGTAACCGCTTCAGTGTAAGTGCAGGCTGCAGGCGATCGCTCATGGGTGGAGTTTATAGCACGCCGCAGATTAACAATCGTCTCTGATTAAATCACTGCACTGGCTCTGAGCGCACGACTTTTAATAAGAGGACAGTATCTGCTGCCGCTGAGCACCGGTGCACGTTCAAGACTCAGACCTCGGGGTGACAGGAGGCAGCAGGTGCCGGGCTTCTTCCCCAGCACGTCCTTGCTCTCAAAGCTGTGACTCTCAAGCGGAAAGTACCACAGACACCAAGCTGGCAAGTGGCCACACAGCTCGGTTTATAAACCTGCAGGCTTACACGGATTGCAAAGTGTCCGTGCGTATATATGTATACTGCGGTATAAAGGCTGTTTCTTAGAAGAGGGTGAACCTGCCCTAGGATAAAACACGTCTCGTCCCACTTGACAGCTTCAACAATCGATGTCAGCCAAACAAAAGACTCAGTGGGCTTGTTGGGGAAGTTTCTGATGAAGTTCAAGTCCTTCGGTTTGCTTTTGCTTTTTGAGACGGGTCCCTCTTCGTAGCCTAGGCTGGCCTCAGCCTCCAGAGAGCTGGGGTCACAGGCACACACTACCACCGCCCCCCAGCCAAAGCCCTTAATGCTGCAGCTGAAGTTTATTTTAACTTCCTCACTCCACACAAGGCAACTGACTCAGCCACAGAAGAGGATACAAAAGTGCCGATGTTGATTAACGACATGTATGGTCTCATTTAATCCTCACAACCACAGTGGGAAGAGAGGTGTAACCTGCGGTGGAGACCACAGGCCATCCGCCAAAGCATGCCACAGTCATGGAGCTGTCGCTGGCCTGCCCATGGGGCCTCCTGGCTGATAAGCACATTCCCAAGCCCCTTGCAGGTAGGAGGAGCCCTGCATCTTCCTTTGTGCAGTGGGAAATGGGCAGTTTGGGCCGGGATCTTTAAGACAGTGGTGCTCTGGACCAGGCCTTGACAAACCTGTGGGCCGCTCCTGGTGTACTGCCTGTTTTTATAAACAGGATTTTACCAGGGTCAGTACCACACTCTCACACACTGCCCTGAGTACGAATCGAGTTATTCTCGGTGCTCCTGTTCTATACAGCTGACACCATCATTAGATTATTGAATACACAACAGGTTAGGTTCCTATGAGCCTCTGGTCACAACTTTCATCAACCGATCCACCCAAAATCTTGTTTTATGTGTGTTTCTTTAAAGAGATATTATCTAATACAGTAGGTCCTTAAAATGGAACTCCTGGCCAATTATGTCTTATAGTCCAGAGTTTTACATGCTCAAGGGGAAAAAAAATGGTTATTTAGCCAAACATGGTGGTGCATGCCTGTATTCCCAGGACTCTGGGAGGCCGAGGCAGAAGGATTGCAAGTTCAAGCGTGACCCGGGAAACTTAAACGACTTCATAAAGGCCTCTCTCAAAATAAAATATAAAAAGGGCTGAGATGTAGCTCAGTGAAAAGGTCTTGGGTTGGGGCTGGGGATTTAGCTCAGCGGCATAAGCGCCTGCCTTGCAAGCAGGCAGTCGTGAGTTCGATCCCTGGTATAAAAAGGAAAAAGAAAAAAAAAAAGGTCTTGGGTCCCACCCCCAGTGACATATATATTTATCTATAAAACATTTTCTAAGCTACCTCAAAGCTTCCTTGCACATAGCAACAGTAACACTTCAGCACCATGCGTGGGGGCCACTTGAGACAGCAGAATCACCGATACAAAACGCACACAAAAGCAAAAAACCATGGCATTAAATAGACCATAAAAAGACATTTGTTTACAGTGTAACAGCTCAGAAGAGAAGGGAGACAGAGTCACCTATACAAGTTTTAGCTAGAAATGTGGATCCTGGGTGACCCTGTTTTTTCCTATTTTGTTTTAGCCCATGAATGACTGCAAGACACTACAGGTCCCAATCCGGGGCTACAAATACATTTCAGCCAGTAGGCATATTTGGACATAGGAAATCTGTGAATAGAAAAAAATCAATTACAGTTATAAGAGAGACCGTTCGGCCCACGGAGCCTAAAATATTTACTTACATCATCTAACCCTTGACAGACAGGTCTGCTGGACCCTGCCACAGCTTGTAATACTGGAGATTCAACCTAGGGTGTTCACACTGAGCCACTGTAGCTCATTTTTTTATTTAGAGACAGGGTCTTGTTAAGTCATGCAGGCTGCGTTCAACCTTGTAATCCTCCAGCCTCAGCCTCCTACAGGTTTCATGCGATCACAGGCAGGTACTACCACACCGCAAAATTTCATGTTGTCTGAGATGAGGTTTTGCTATGTAGTTCAGGCTGGCCTTGAACTTGCTGTATAGCTGGGGCTGGCCTTCAGCTTGTGGTGATCACCTCCCCTGAAGGCTTGGATTACAGGCGTGGGCCACTAAGCCTGGCACTTTCAAGTTCTTGAATACACTTGAATTTTGGGTTTCTCTGTGGTGTCCTCTGCTACCTTCCATCTCATTCCAAATTATTGTCAAAGATTTCCAACAAATCTCCTCTACATTGGGGACTAATATTCCCCAAAGGGCGCTACTAAAACGCCCTGCGCCAGCACCAGTGTGGCTTGTTTAAATCCAGAGTCCTTGTTAAAACGCACACCCACCTCTTACTAAACTACTTGGGTTGGAGGAAGAGTTCAACTTTCCCATTTAACAGGCTCTGCAGGTGATTCTATGCATTCATAAATTCGAGACTCATGGAATTCGGGAGCAGGCTGGAAGAAGTCCACTACCCCGCACCCCACAATTTCGGGGAGGAGGCACAAAAGAAAGGCTCGGCTCCAGGGTCTCTACGGCTCCCCTAGGCTCAACCTGAAACCTGTTTCTCATCTGTACAAATCTCTCGGGCTTGCAGGGAGGATTAACAGGGACCACGAGCCGCGGTGGCATCAGCTGTCTCCTTTCCACACGCGAATTACTCGCAAACCCCTAAGCAGCATCAAGTCTAGGAGTCTCTTTACGGGCGCCCAGAGATTCTCAAAGTCGGGTCCCAAACTCAAGCTCTAGGACCATAGAGGAAAATGTTCTCATCTCGGGCAATATTTAAGCCACTAGGAACACGCAGGGCTGTCACCCTGGAGGTCCCCTCATCCACAGGTCGGGTCCTCCTAGGTTCCATGTCCCCGCAGTGGGGTTCCCTCCTCTGGAGACCCGCCCTCATCCCCGGCTTCCTAACCTCCAGGCCCCCGTAGCGACCCTCACTTCCGGCACCCCCGTCGGACCGGGGCCCTCACCTCGCCTCCCTCTGCTACACCCGCGTCGTCCTGGCCTCCTCCGTCTGACCCCTCCTCCAACCATGTGGCCCCATTATCCTGCAGGCAACTAACGAACACTCCAAGCTCCACACCGCCCCTCACCTCTAGAGCGACGCCCAGATTCTCCCGCTTCTTTTTAGTCATGTTGCTTGCAGGGATCCCCTGGTCTTCCCTGGGCACGCCCATTGAGTAGGACTACGCACGCGCAAATCCTCGTGCTTCTCTCTCATTGGTTTCCGAGACAGCGGGAGGCGGAGCTACTTGTGATCGCCATATTGTTGAAGGGCGCCGCCATGTTTATGAGGGGCAGCTTCTAATCTGAAGCCTCAATTTAGGGGTGGAGAAAGAATAAGACCCGGGGAGGAACAGTGGCCGCCCCGCCCATGGTGGAAGCCGCTTTACATCACCAGAGTTTTTTTTTTTTTTTTTTCTTTCTCCCTTGTGGTACTGGTGATTGAATCCACAGCCACCCTCCTGCTTTTTAATTTTGAGACAGGCTGTCAGATTCTCTAGGCAGTGTGGAGATTTGTGATCCTCCTGCCTCAGCCTCCTACAGTGCTGAGCCTTTTTGGTTTTTAAACTCCACCTCTAGTGGCTTTTATCCTTGAAGATCCTGGCCAGTTTTATTTCAAGTTCTTTCCCTTCCCCTGTTCAAATTCTGCTCCATCCCTGGGCACTGTTGCTTCAGGAAGCCCCCACTCCATCACCTCTGCCTTTGGGTTTGATGATAGCTTTCTACTGTTAGCTCTCTCTTTTTGTCTTGTACTCTTCCTCATTTTTCTCATTGTCTCATAAGACAAAAACAGCAGAAAACATCACAGAAAACTTAGAAATGAGAGATAGTATCTCATCCTCCTAATCTTACATTTGTTTCTTTGTATTCCTTCTGAGCTTAGGACTCACATGTAGTTGAAATTGTATGTGTGGTATACGCCATAGACCTGTGCCCTTTGGAATGTTGTGACTGACCCCACCGGAAGGATTGTTTTTTTATTATCAAAATAACCAAAACCAAAAGTTCACAGTAAGAACTTTTACCATCTGTCGAGTCCAGTGTTACTACGGCCCCCTTCTCTTTAACTTCTACTTTTTCTGTTGGCCCTCCCCTCCCCTCCCCTCCCCTCCCCTCCCCTCCTTCACCCTCCCCTCCCCTCCCCCCTTCTCCGGCTTTCCCCTCCCCTTCCCCCTTCCCCCCCACTTCTCTGAGCTACACTCCCTACCCTACTGTTTGATTTAAACGACAACAAAAAAGTGTGTGTGGGCGGGACTTAAGTGGATATCCATCACTGGAGAGTCAAGTCCAGTTTGGAAATCCTTGGTCATAGACATTTTTCCATGCCTTCAAAATCATCACTGGGATAGTGTCACTGGGTGACTCTGTCTCTTTCTTGCACTGGACAGTATTTTACAGGTCAGAACCTCCAAGGAGTGCTAACAGACACCTTGTACAAAGGACTCTGTCTCTGTGTTCTTTTCTTCTTCTTCTTTTTTCAGATAGATTTGCAGAAATGGATTTGTTGGGTCAACTGTTCCAAGCCTAGATCGCAGCTCCTCATTCCCTGCTGAGTTACCTCTCCAGGGGAGCCTGTGTTTCTGCGGGTGATAATGACTCTGACTCAGTGTTTGGGGGAAGACATGTTTTCAGATCTGTGTCCTGTGCCTGATAGAGCCGCTGAGCCATGGCACTGGAGGGACCCGAGATCGCATCAGGACGGGCAGGACACAGGCTGTCGCCCAGTGCAGCTCTTAGCTCGGCGCTCTGAGCACAGGGAAAGACTTCGTCAAGGACATCGTCCATCAGCTGTCAGTCAGCCACGGTAATTGTCAGAGCATCCTCCCAACTTTGGTTCCCGTCCCAGAAAAGCCAGACTCCTGCTTCCCAGGCACCACAGGCGCAGGCCCAGGGGAGGTGAGAAGACAGGGAAACGCTGTGTTCTTTTCCAAGGGCTCCTTCTGGGACTATTTGGCATCAAGAAAAAGCCAGGAAAATCTGGGCGGGCCCAAGTTAGTTCCCTCTTTCTCCCATGTCCCTGGAAAGGACCAGTGAGCTTTCAACCTTCACCTCTACATTTTGCCGGCCAGACCTTGTCCCCAGGGTCCAGCAGTGGTGCAGAATATTGAAACCAGGCTGGACCACGACTCTTGGAGGGTCTTCAGTGAAAGGGGCGCTTTCAGAAGGAGGCCAGCTTGGACTCCCACCCTGGCTCTGCCACGTAGCAGCCACCCCATAGTGCAAGGCCCTTGCTCAGCCTCAGTTTCCACACCAGGTCAGCGAGCTGCGCGCAGCACCAGGTTCACTGTGAGAATCACCGAGACGCCTGAGCGGCCGCTGTGCTGGAGAGAGACGGAGGGACAGCAGGACGGATGGGCCCGCCGCCAGCTTGCAGATACAGCTTGCTTAGCAATTGTTGCCGTTGGTATTTTGTTGTTTTGATGCTGATTTTTGTCACTTGAATGCTGCTGCAGAATGTCTGTTGTTAGGAGTTTGGGATGCATGCCCGGGGGGTCTCTGGCTGTACAGGTGTGGAGCTCGGCGCACGGGCAGCCCCCACCTGTGCCAGTGTCCTCCCCCTTGGGCTCGCTGCTGACATCATCAGCTACGTGTGTCCAGGCTGGACAGACCACAGTGACCCCATGGTGTGTGTACGGAGGGAAAACAAGCGGCCTGGAGAACCCACTGACAGACATCCTTCCCACCCTGACACATGCAGGGGTGCTGGCTTTGATTCCCATGGCTCCGAGCTGGAAAGTCTGCCCACGAGCAAATGGGTGACTGTGTGCTGTCTGTCTGTCTTTGTTCCCCAGCGAGCTGTGGCTCTGCACCATCTATTTGGAAATTTTTATTTTTTCGTACTGGGAATCGAACTCACAATCTTGCACTTAACAGGCAAGTGCATAAGACTCTGAGCTATATTCCCGGCCCTGTTTGGGGGCTTTTAATAGTTTAAGGGAGGCAAAGTCGTATGATGGAAGACAGGAGACTTGGGTCATTCCCGGCCCGGTTCTTGGGCTCTTATTGTCCCTTTCTGATAAATGGACCCAGCAGGGAGAACTGGAGGACTTAGATACCCCAGGATCCTGTGCTGTCATGACCTTGTTAGCTGTAAGGTGCCCAGACATAAGGCACCCTTGTAAGCTGAAAGGTAGATGCGTAAAATAAGAACTAATCACTACCCTGAAGATATCGTTAATCTCGTTAGGGAGACAGACTGACGGCAGGAAACAGTGCGCCAGCCTTCACGGAATTAAATACCAGCTGTCTGCTGCCTACTGCTGATGCACTAGCGGCTCTGAGAGAGGAGCAGGACGCTGTGGGGCTTGGGCGGCTTTTTGGAGGCTCTGGGTCATGGAGGACAGATGACGCGGGGTTGCACAGAAACGGGGGAGAAGGCACCCCAGCTGAGAGCCCCAAGGGCTTCCCGCCCCAAGAGGGGTCACCCTCTTCTATTTGGCACGCAGCGGCTGGGCCCAGACCTGGTTTATGGGTTCCCAGTCCGGTTTGCTTGCCCTTTACCTCATCCTGGGCTTGCTGACTCTGGAGTCCACACTGGGCTCCCCGCCACTGCCCGAGGGAGCCCTGTGGGAGCAGGGGGGGGTGCGAGCGACATCGGTCACTGTCAGAAGCACTTCAGGCAGGAAATGAAGAATTTCGTAGGTGGTTAAAAATACAGTGGGAACTGATTTATGTTTGAATTTTGTTCCAGGGCAGGGGATTATAGCCCAAGTTCTGAGGCAAAGGCAGCGGTGTCTTTATGGCCGGCTTGGATCGGTTTTATATCTTAGTGGTTTTTATACGTCTCAGTTAAGCCAAGATGCCAGGACTTTTTTGTCCCTGTATTTCACCAGGGAAAACTCATGTACACCACGCCTTGAGCCCAGACTCTTACCTTATAAAAGAAAGAAAGAAAAAAGAGAGACAAAAAATGACTGCTTTCGCTTGCTACTTGGTAGGTGTCTAGTTTCAGTTAAATCAAATCATAAACGGACGGTGAATCCAGGCAAGGGCCTGAAGTGGGTGTCAGGTGATATCACGAAAACAGGAGGACAGTTTCCTAAATATTGTTGCAGATGCAGATCATGTGATCCTGCAGAACCCCACTGATGAGGAGAATTTTCTTGTAGACATTGACACCCACATAAGCTCTGTGACCTTTTCTGACACACAGATGGGCTTTTATCTTTTTCCTGTTTTGGCTTTTCGAGACAAGGTCTTGCAATGCAGTTCAGGCTGGCCTTGAACTCACTATGAGGCCCAGACTGGCCTTGGACTCTCTGATCCTCCTGCCTCAGCCTCCTGAGTTCAGGGAGTACAGGTGTGTTTTATCACCCCTGGCCGGTAGGCTTTTATCTGATGACTACTGCACCTTTTGTAACTGATCATGTTTTCCACTTTCCTTTGTTCCAGGGAAGCTTAGATCTGAGCGTGCTCAGGGATTTGGAGCATAGGTTTCCACACACTAGCATTTTCCCTGTTTTTATTTTATTTTTCTACCTTGTTTTCCCTGCACTCCATCAATTTATCTATTTTTAATCCCACCGTACTGTGTGCATTTTGGTAAGCTCCCTCAGATCCTTTTCTTGGAACGCAAAGGAGCATAAATAAATCAATAAATACATCCTGTGTTTGTAAATATGGCGTTTTGTTCCTTCCGAAGCAATTTTCATATCCATTAGCTCTGTGGATCTCTGTGTCACCTCTGAGGAAGCAGCACCAACACAGTCAGCTCCGTGTGTTTTGCAGACAAGGAGGCTGAGGTGCACTACCTCATTTACTGAGTGAACTGGCTTGCAGGAAGATACAAGCCCAATCCTCCTCCTATACCAAAGACCACATGGACCCCTCCATGTACGAATATGAAAGTAATCGTCAGTTAGGTGACTTCTCATTAGCAGACGTTGATTGGGGAAGGACGAAGCCTACTTTGGTGTTGCCAGTTGGAGAGGATACAAATTAAGGTGACCCTAATTTCAGAGATTCTGTCCAAGTCTACACTTGCAATTATCTCCCACCGTTTTTCTGCTCTCAGACCCATCCCCACTGGTCACAGGGGTGGCATAGGACCAAGCTGGAGAGCCAATCATAAAATCACATGCTCCTGGCCACAGGGATTGGTTCAGAGTGGAGGGTCACATGACCAGTGCTGGGCCAATGAGAATTCTTACCTGAGATTTTTCTCTGTGCGACTGGGAAATAAATTCTCTTGTTCACTTCCATCTAGAGCAGTTAAGGTACTTTCTTGGATGTGCTGGCCACTG